AAAACCATTCTTAATGCTTTACCTGTATATGTGATGGCATGTTTCAGAATTCCCATCTCTGTGTGTTCTGAGATATGTAAAACAATCGTTTTTCTATATAATATAAATAAACTCCAGCTTTTGTAAAATCCCATAAAAAATTGAAGTAGGGAGTAATTATTTGAAGTTCATGGTTCGTTTCAATGTAAAGACATCAATGAATTTACTTTTAGAATTATTAATAGTTCATCAATTCCAATGGTACCGATGGCTTTAAATGCATCTTTATGAGTTAATGTTGGAACTTTTTAGTCGAATATGTTAATTATTGAAAATCCGTTTCGTTTAAAAAAAAATCCGTTTCGTTTAAAAAAAATAAAATAAATAAACCTATTAATCCTTTTCAATGAATTAATTTAGACTTAATTGACAATTGAACCCATTGAGCCAACTAGTGATCAACCCGTGCATTTTCACGGAAAAAAATGCGTAAAAAAGATAATAATATAAAAAAAATAAAAATACATAACCATAATTTAATTCATGAAAAAAAATATGAATTAAGAAAAATGATTCTAAATTTTATTAAACATTTATTAGTATAGAATATTCATGATTTTCGTATCGTCGTAATCACTATCACTACATATCATAATCTTCGAACTCTTCCCATCCGACACTCTATAAAGAGCAATATACAACTGTCCATGACTGAAACAGCCCAATTTTTCTTTATCTATCTAGCTAGTGTTAATTTTTCTTTGTCAGCGCCTTCTCCTCCGTTCAAAGGCTCAATCAAATGTTGTTTTCTCTTCTTTTAAGTCAGTCATTTATGGCTGTTCGAGCTTGGAGCTCGATTTTCCAGTGCCAGCGTCCGTTGCAACCGATTCGACGACGAGAAGGAAGACGACAGCAACAGTCGAGTACGACGGTGAGGAAGAGGACGGGGACGACAATAGTATTTTGTGTCGGGGGGACATCATCAGATGTGGCGGGGAGTGGAGAAGGACGACGTTGTCAGGATCGATGGCGGCGGGACTAATAGCAGCGAGGGCGGCTATGATAGGACTGGCAGCAAACAATGACGTCTGTTACTTGAGAAGAATTAGTGGCGAGAGAAATAGTGCATGGTGAAGGAGAGAAAGTTAGGGGGTTGGGTGGGTGGGATGCGTGTATTTATGTGTGAGAGAGGGGACTGTGAGGTCGGGTGGGGCCCACGAGTAGGTGGGAAGTGTGGACAATGTCCAATTTACCCTTAATGAATGTAATCTTTGGCTTTTTTATATGTAAAATTATTCAATATGATGTCTACGATATATTCTTATTTCTTTCATTGAGAAACAAGTTCACCTCAACTCAGCCCTATATATATATAAATATATATATATATATATGTTCGAATTTATTAGAAAAAGTATTTTTCAATAATGTATTTTTCTATTATTATTTAATAATTTATTTATTGTGTTATTTTAAATATGTATTTTTGTGATATTTTCAATAAACTGATCCGTATCGATAAGAGAAGTATTTTTGTGTTATTATTTAATAATGTATGTAGATGTTCAATATTCATGTACTTAGATTCCAAATAGATACTCCAAAATTAAACATGTTTACAACTGAGTGAAATAAGCATACAAATTATGTCTATTACATATCATAAATATAAGATATAAAAGATAAAAAATATTATTAGTATTCAACTATTTTTATACTAATCAATATTCATTCATTCATTTAATTTATACAATTTTTCATTATTGTTTTGAGTATCGCATGAGCTACGTACTAGTTATGTGTGGAAAACAATAGCTTTTATGTTTGGATTGAACTAGTCCAGCAATTAAGATACTGCAGTTAGATAAATATTTAAGAAAAATAACACAATACATAATGATTAATTGTGATACTAAAGTAATAAATATAAAACTATAATGATTGTTAATTAAGGAGGGCGTGTTTTTTTGAAATTTTACGAAATATATTAGACTTTTGATATTTGGTACTTTTAAAATCTTTAAATTTAAGAGAATCCTAATTTTTACAGGGTGTATTCGTTGGAGATTTCTAAGTACTTTTTAATAATTTAGAAATCCTGGTTTATTTAATTTGGACTTTTTAAGAATTTTAAGACTTTTAGTAGTCTTGTGGTATTCATAGATTTTAAAAAGTCTTACAAATCATGAGATATTTAACTTGTTTGAGACTAATACTATTTGTTAAGACCTTTTGAAGATTTGTTGTGATTTTTAAAGAAAAAACCTTATACAAATTCAACTCAAAATCCCATCTACAAACTTAAAATTTCACAAGATTTCTCCAAAATCTGAAAATCTTAGGGGAGTATATTCGTTTTGGATTTCAAGTGATAATTTGAGACTTTTTGAGATTTGAGACTTTTTAAGATTTCTAAATTTTGAAAAAATCGAGTGAAATCTTAAGTGTAAAGGTGGAATTTTGAGTGAGATCCCGTATAACGTTTTTTCTTTAAAAATCCGAGCTAATCTTAAATTTTTTAACAAATATTAATCTCAAATAAATTAAATACCTCAAGATTTTGTAAGTCTTTTTAAAACCGCAAATAAATACCCCAAGACTTTTAAGATTTCAATAGACCAAGACTTTCCAAGTTTTAAAAAACCTATAGAAATCTCAAATGAATACACCCAATTAAAAAGTCTTAAATCTCGAAAATTGAGATATATTATTATAAAATCTTTGTAAATGTATTTTATTTTATAGATGTACCAAGAAATGATGTCATTTAATAATAATTTTTTTATATTTTTTAAATTTAATTATGCTAACAAAATACAACCTTTTCACCCTTTTAATTGTCCTTGCCGTGCCAACTTGACAATTTGATAAAGTATAATTTTCTCAAAAAACCATTAGGCAGAAGCCACTAGGGACGCGCTGAGCCTACGTAGTTGCTTTTGGTGTTTCGGAATTTTATATGGCAAAATTAAATGTTTTGTTATTAGGCTTGGGTAAATTTTAATTTAATTCCAAACCAAAAATAATTAGGTTGGGAATTACCATAAATATGTTGATTATTTATGGTCATGTTAAATGTATTAATTGTATTTTAATATCATTCTTTATTATAACTATTGAATTGTAATATATTTTAAAAGTTAATAACTTTTGTATTTTTTATCAGTTTTACATATGTAATATATTAAATTAATCTTCTTTTGATGAGCTCCGATTTAACATCCATATTGTATGTATAAAAAAAAGAATTTATATTTATCTTTATAACAATAATAAAATTATTTTTAATATTAATTAGAAAAATAAAATTATTTATCAACTAATATATTTATATTTCAAGTAGTTATATGATATAAGTTATAAAAACTAATATAATATAACACATTTAAGTCATAAGTAACACATATCATTCTAACATATATAATAATATATATTTGGTAAAAAAGTAAACTAAATTTAATATAGTTTTCTCATTAATTTTTTATTTTTTATTTTTTTTTTTGGTACAGGGACCTTCCGGTTTCCAGATCCACAGGGGAACCGACTAATCCAAAATCGAACCGGGTAGGACCACAAGGGCGGCAAAGCTCTCCCTCAAGAGTTTTTAACACTGCTGCATTATCAGGGCTCGAACACGAGACCACTGGTTAAGCTGGAAGAGACTCAATCCATCTCATCCAAGCGCTCTTGGGTATTAATTTTAAAATTTAAATATAATTTTTTAACAAGCACACGTATAATACACGGGTATTGTATTAGTTATGAGTATTAACAAAGTTCATTTATAATGCCGTGATAAATAAATGAATAACAAGTTTTAGCGGGAAAACAAAAGAAGCCAATAAGAGTTTTTTACGCAAGCAAATAATTAGGCGAAAATTCTTTTATGCTTAATTAAATTGATCCCTCTAAAAAATGATAGACCGATCTTACAATTGATACATTGAATTATTAAAAAAAAATAAAAATAAAAGAGGTATACTAATAACTAGTGACATGATAAAAGTAAGAGTATATAAATTTAATATCGGTTCAACTCAGGCCGATCATGAGCCGGTCACGGCCCGAAAATTGATTTTGTGCATATAACATTGAATGAAAGAATTGAGTGAGCAAACGAAGTACAATTGAATTGAAATTTTGAGTATACCACCATGTCAATGATACGAATCCAACGGTGGATCATAAATACCATAAAATCGCGTCGGACCACAACAGAACATAAAACAGATCAAATTATTTTGGTCATAAAAAAAAAAATGAGCAGGCAAACAATATTTTTGGCTAATTCGACCGGGAGTCTTCTAACAAAAGATTACACCAGACGCCAATAGAATGACCACTAGCTAGACAGAGAACAACGGAATTTTGGCCAAAAATATTTTGGATGAAAAACTTGAGCAGACAAACGAACTCTAATTAATTGAGATAAATTTTTATGGGTGCGATCATTACAACAAGAAGAACCCACTGGCTGGTCACCCACTTAAAACGAATATTGAATGACTATGTAATTAGATCGGAGAGAGAAAATAATTCAATTTGTTTTGGGCGAAAAAAATCGAATGAAAAACGAGCTTTGACCGAACTAAAAATTTATGGGCACGATCATTTCAACGAAAAAAATTACAAAATTCGAATTACGCCAAAAGAAAAAAAAAATACGAATTTTATCCCGCCCTCATGATTAGTGTACGCAATTTGATGTCTTTCATATACATTTTGCGAATGAAATTTTGACAAGTAATTAAGACTGGAGTACCTTTCCTTGTGGTTTGTAAACTTGCACGTCACTATAGGTCAGAGACCGCACCCGAGCCCGATAGCATTAAACTGCCGCAAAATTTGGTCCTCTGGAGAACAAAAGAAAAAAGGACAAAACAACATATGCATGTTCCCTAGTGCTTTTCATCAATTAAAAGATATTGTTCCCCCTTTCTTGACGTGCAGCTCTAACATTGTTAAAATTGCAGTTTGTGCTGAGGGCCAAAAAGTAGCTTGAGATTATGGAAAATAACAAGATGGGGGTGAGGAAAGGCGCGTGGACGAAAGACGAGGATGTTCTTCTCAAGGAATGCATCGAAAAATACGGCGAGGGGAGGTGGCACTTAGTCCCCATTAGAGCTGGTAAATTTGATAAATTTTCTTTTTACACACATATATATATATAGTTTCAAATTTAAATAGCCATGATCATGTACAGTATGTAATTATATTTCAGGGTTGAACAGATGCAGAAAGAGCTGCAGGCTTAGATGGTTGAACTATTTGAGGCCAAATATTAAAAGAGGTTACTTTGCTAAAGACGAAGTTGATCTCATCGTGAGGCTCCATAAGTTGCTCGGCAACAGGCAAGTATAGTGTTTCACATTTAGTGACGTTAAATTAAGCAAGTCTGGCTCGGTTCGTTAAGGCTCGAGTTCGGATCGAGTTCGAGGCTTTAACGAGTTGAGCTCGATCTCATTTAAAACTCGTTGGCGAGTTCGGCTCTATTCGGATCGAAAATAGAAACTTTATATTATTTTTTATAGTTGGTCTCGTTAAAGCTCGAAATCGGCTCAGGCTCGAGTCCTTAACGAGCTGAGCACGAGCTAAATTCCAGACTCGTTTATTCGGCTCGGCTCGACTCGATTCGTTTACAGCCCTCACAATGCATCTCTGGATAATCTTTGTCTATTTAAAATACCAAAATTTTGAACTACATGTGCGACACAGGATCAATCTTAAATACTGTGTCACCTTGAATACATGTGAGTATGCCTAATCTCTACTGTGGCCACATAAAGTATTAATTATATTGTAGCCTAAAATATATATTTTCAACATTACACATGTTTTCGTTTTAATTTTTATTCATCTTAAACAATGTTTATAAATATATTTTTGAGAGAAAACAGAATATTTGATAAAAAATACGAACATAATTAAGCTAAAAAAATTCATAACAATTAAACAAAATTTCAGACTGTAGTTTATGATATATAATGTAATAAAGTTTAATTACAAGATCTGCAAAAAAATTACAATTATTTTTTTCTAAAAATCTTCAAGCAATTATTATTATTTATTTCCATTGTTTATTATTTATTATTATTATTATTATTATTATTATTATTATTATTATTATTATTATTATTATTATTAGTATAATTATTATTATTATTATTATTAATATTATTTATTATTATTATTATTATTTTGGCGACTACGTACCTAATTCAAATCCACTCATTATTGGAATACTTAAAGTCGTCAAGGTTGAAATAACTCTCAGTGGACCAATGGTCTTAAAATAAAAGTTCCATAAAAGATAGTTCAAAACTTCAAATACAACTATATTTTTGTAATTGTTAAAATTTCCGGAAATAACAAAAAAGCATTCACGGAATTAAACTTCACCATTTGTCGTTGTAATGTAAGACCCATTAATTATATTAGCATGTGATTAGAGACAAAGATCCATCAATTATAGTACTAGTTATGTGATTAGCCATATGGCATCTAGTGGTCTTGGTCTTCAATTTTTTAATTTTACATTACAATGATGGTCTGTGTAGAGAAATTCTATGAAATTATCGGATAGTTTTCTTATAAAACGATTCATCACACAATGTATTGACACATGTCCAAAGTGTATTTATTGTATGACATGTCACTACGTTATATTTGAATTATTGTGGATGACTCCATAGTCGTGTCATCCTATGGCTCCATAGCATTTGAATTATTGTGGTCGACTTTTAAGTTTTAACAAATCTAAATTGAATAGACCATGATTTATAAATTCTAAAAAATTTTTAGAAATATCAATTGCATATGCCCCTACACATATAGGATTTCAATGGAAAATGGAGAATTTCATTTTTGCTCGATTATTTTTCGATAAAAAATATAATATTAAAATATTTCGCGATATTTATTGTTTTTTATTGGAATTTGTTGATTCAAATAAACATATATGTCTCTTTTAATCATGACCAAATATAGTGCCATCTTATAGTGCTAGCTTATACGTCCTATTCCTTTTTAAAATTTAATTTTGATTCAGGTGGTCGTTGATTGCCGGTAGAATTCCTGGACGAACAGCGAACGACGTGAAAAATTTCTGGAACACCCACATCGACAAGAAATCCTCACCACCATCCACCAATGGAGATGGTTTCCAGCAGAAAAGCGTGAGCATCAACAATACCAACGTTATAAGGCCCCAACCTAGGACCTTCTCTACAAATTTACAGCTTTCGAGACCTTATGAACCAACAGACAACATTTCCAGCACCACAAAAGACAAAAAAGAACACCCAAGCGCGCAAGTACCCCCATTGATGCTCGAGTCCAAAACTCCCCAAAACGAGTGCATGAGCTGGTGGGGAAGCTTACTCGAGATAACCAAGAATGGAGATGGGACACCATTTTTGTTCCCGGATGACCAGGTTTCGGATCCAATGATGTTTACGACTAGTCAGGCGAATGGTGAGGCGGTTGAAGACGGTGGATTGAGTAGTTGGGGTCTTGATTTTGATGTTTGGGAGATTGTGGACATGAATAATCAATATTGAATACTTTCTCTGTTGGAAATTGTTCACCGGTCTACCGTGTTTTGTATGAAATCTCACCGATCATGAGTGGTTGATGAAATGGAAAGGTTGATGATGTATTTTTCTTTAGAATTGTTATTATATATTTATTATTTTAATATAAACATAATAAATTTGTTATTTTAATAATTTTTTTTGTCATAGCTATTTTTGTTATATGGTTTGTGAATATTTTTATTTTTTGTTATTTTCCGTAGTCGTTTGAGCTTATACCTCGACAATCAACCATAATCGGATTATGTTGTTGTTCTGCTATCGGCTGCCAGCCAGCATTGGCCGCATGCAGTCGCTCGACAACACCCAAGCTATGTGACTAGACTGACAGCCCACTCTAAAAACCGTGTGACACTCCAACAGCTCCCTAGGCAAACCACCACGAGTCCGAAGAACTGAAGAAAACTTTCTACATGCACAAGATAACCCATTCAACTAAACTTGTGATTAGTGTTTTAATATTTATTTTTCGTTATTCGTGCTCAATCATATTTTGAATCTTATATCGAACCACCTCCTAACCCCAAGAGAAACGATCCAAGGTTGGGATTTTTATGTTGCTTGGCTAAAAAATTACAAACAAATACAACGTCAATGTCAGGGTATATGGGTGGAATATAAGATTTAGACAATTTATTGAGCGACTTAATCCGATTATGATTATGGTACTTTGGGAGACGATGATCTTTCATATCACAATAGTCCACCTCTGAACTATAGAATCAGTGAACAACATCAATCAATATGTATAGTCGAATATATGTATGAATATTTTAATACTAAGCATACGGGTTATAGAGTTAGGATTAGAAACTTGCGTTTAAAATTTGTCGACTATGAATCGATTCAACGGTCTACGAGACCATATACGAACTGACATACTTGATTACCTTAGATCTTTTGTGGTATTTATGTCCAAGTAGTCTGGTGGGCGACGACCTCTAAGTTTCCCCGTAGTTCTCATGTGATCGGATCTTACGAAAAGAGGAAGAAGACCTCGTGTTTGGGAGGCACTGTCATTTTCTCTCTTTTTTAGACCTTATCGATTTTTACTCTTTGTTGCTCTTGTTTTTGGACAAGTTTTTAAGACTGGAAATGGCGTGTGAAATCATGAAAGACTTGATGGTTCGTATATAGAAAACAATACTTCGTTTGAACATATTTCTATTTTGAATAAATGAGTCATGTTTAGTCAATTGTTGTGCAATTTACTTTATGTACGAATTTTTCTTTTGTCCTGTTATTGACATTGAATATAATATAGTGTTACGTTTCCTGACACAAGAGATTATATTATATGTTTTTTGTACAATATAAAAAAGGTTCATTATAGAGATAACAATGAACAAACCTATCGTGCTAGTACTGCACTATGTGTGTGTTGAACAGGACCACATAGAAGAAGTTTATTTATACTAATCCCGTAAATAAACTAGACCTCCCGATATCACTCGTACTCTAAAAATTAGGATGATAATGATGGGTACGTGTTGTTATGTCACTTTAAGTCACATATAGATTTGAACACCTTATGTCTCGAGTGGTCCTCGTTCTTGTGCTCTGATAACCTACAATACACCGGGAAGAGGTTCCAGAGGAAAACTCTCCGATGCTCAACTTAGAATTTGCTCAAACTATATGTGCAGAAGTATGTAAATAAAGGTGTGGAAGATGATCCCCCTCTGGAGAAGAACCTTTCGCCCTTATATAGGGCATATACCTTAGGGCTGAAGAGAGTTTTTGTTAGGGAAGAGATCCAACCAGATCCAACTTTCCTAACATACTAATAAGTTTCTATCTTGGCAAGAGTCCTTTCAGCGAGCGATTGCTTCATTCTTATTAGGATTCTTTTTTCCTTTACGCTATTATCCCATTGGTCCTTAGGTCGTGTATCCGACCTTCTGACTTGTCTGTCGTGACCTTTCTGAGGACAATTCTTACTTTTTCTCGAGGTCTATAGCGACCTCATCCTCAGGTCTCACTTGTACTCAAACCACCTGACTCAATTCCCTAAGGCCGGCTACTTTGTCGGGCTCCTGGAGATTGGCCCCTCTAGATTAAGTTTTTTCTTGTAGCTGGACAAATTTAGCCCATTTGCGAGCTACTTGACTGAGCATCCTACCTCTGAATGCATGGGAGCTCTCCTATCTCAGTTGCCCATTTACTTGTTTGGCATGAAATGTTGAGTTGGGATGATTTATTCCCAGTTGCTAAATTTGGAACTTAATCTGTTTTGAGATAAGTTGAGTAATGCCTATTGAATGAATTTTAAAATGACTTGCGAAAAGAAATTTATTTTTTGAAAAAATATTTGGTATTTTCATTGTAAAAATAACGAAGCGTTACACCATGTGTGTGATGGACATTTAATTTATTTCTTTCACGTTTTGGTAACAAGTTCTCGACAGCTTCTGGTACCCTTGAGCCTCTCATACTCGATCTCCGACGGGGAACTTCAAATTCATGTGATAAGTCGATACGACGGCTTGGAAAGCATTGAGTGTTGGCCTCCCCAGAATCACATTGTAAGCTGACACGACATCCACTACTACAAACCTCAGCATCTTCACCTTTCTCAAGTCACCTTCCCCAAGGACGACTGCGAGCATGGTTTCTCCTAGATGTGCGACTTCAGAACCACTGAATCCAAAGAGCGACATATGCAGGGGTGTGAGTTCAATATCAAGCTCCATTCTTTTGAGGCAGTCATAAAAGATCACGTTCACTGAACTCCCGGTGTCGACAAACACTCCTGCACTTCATAACCTGACACTTGGGCAGTTATCATCATGGCATCATTGTGAGGCCTCTAGACCTATCCTACATCTACTGGTCCAAAATCCATCACAGGGCCATTCTCGTCGACCTGCTTCACCTCGACCTTCGCATGCTGCCCTCGAGCATGCGCCTTCCTCGCTGGGTTCGAATCTCCATCAGTCGGCCCATCAAATATCATGTGAATTACTCCCTTTTTTTTAGGAAGCTCCTTTTTGTCGGGTGATCTCATCCTCTTGCGAGGGCTCTTGCTTCGCTCCTTCCTCCCACTCGACCTTTCACGATCCTTGTATATGAATTCCTTCAGTTGCCTTGCTTTGATCAATCTCTCGATTTCGTCTTTGAGGTGTCTGCAGTCATCAATGTTGTGCCCATAATCTTTGTGAAATCGACAGTACATGTTAATCTTGGGCTTCGTCGGTCCATCCTTCATCATCCTGGGCCATCTCACGACATTGTCATGGATCTCATTTTCCACCACCTCCAGTATTTTTGCTTGAGGGGCATATAAGGGGGTGTATTGAGTCGGCCTCCACCCCCTAGACCGTCCTTCTCTCTCTGCTCGTGGGGATCCTCTCCTTTCTCCATATGGGTTTTCCTTTTTGTCTTTCTTCTCATCCCGAGGTTTAGTTTTCGCCTTTGTCGTGTGTAAGAAGTCAGCTTCAGCTTCCTCGACATTAATGTATTTGCACATTTTTCCAAGACCTCGTCGAATGTCCTACCAGGTCGCTTTGCCAAAGAGTTTCTGCACAACCCTGGTAGTAAACCCCTAGTTAGTCCACCCGACTTGATTTCCTCCGTGGCTGAGGGCACGTGAACGCACGCCCGTGTATACCTCGCCACATAGTCCCTCAGCGACTCCCCTTCCTTCAGTTGCATACCTATCAGAGTAAGATAAGACTTTTATTGGGCTTTCACACTTGCAAGCTGGTTGAGAAAACTTGAGCTGAACCCATCAAAGTTCCTGACAGCTCCTTGAGGCAGTTGGTGGAACCAGTCTTGCACGGGTCCTTGTAGCGTCGTCAAGAACACTCGACATTGGACATGATCGTTATAACGATGTAGCACTATTATATTCTCGAAACTTCGCAGATGTCGAGAGGGATCAGTCGGCCCATCATACCAGATATTCAACTCTCTAAACCCTTATGGCAAATCAGCATCCAAAATGTGTTGCAAGAACGGGTGTCTTCTTGAGCTCTCCGTTTTCCTTCCCTCCACTCGAGCCTGCAGACCTCGTACTTCAGCCATCAATTGCTCTAGCGTATCATTCCTCGCATGTGGATTGATCGTTCTGACTGAGGACTCCTCCTCGTCCACTCTCCGAGTTTGTCGTTCATTCGATCGGGCTTGTTTCTCTCGTTCGACATGAGGTTTCTTGACTCTCTGTGGCTGCTCGACCATGGGTTGCTCGACCCTGGGTTGCTCGACCCTGGGCTGCTCAACTTGGGGTTACTTTAGTTGGGCCACCGCCGCTTCAGCTATCATTTTAGCATCTCATTTTTGGTGACCGTCATTGTTTGCTCCTCGATTTGGGGTGCTCTCGCACCTTGCTCCACTGCTTCTCCCTGCGGTCCTCCAGTGTTCCCAGATTCTTCCATCGACCCTCTTCCATCGACTTGCGCACTTATGATCTGCGCTTGTCTAGTTCCTCCTTGTGTTAGCACTGGAACTTTTACCCCAGGTGGGGGTAATGGGTGTCTCTTCCTCCCTTCGCATCCCCGGCGGTGCGTGCCCGCCAAACGGTGGGAAACCAAACATCAGAATCGTCGGTTTGGGGCTGGGGATCGGTGGTGGCCACTTATCTGTCCACACTCCTCTAAAGTCCTCATTCAGGTTCCTCTACAATCCTTCCTTCTCCGCCATATCTGAACATATTAGAACCAGGTGCAAAGCTCTTGATTCTCTTAAGAACTTCCCACAGACGACACCAATTTGATGGGTCTCCTCCTAGATCTTGAGTGAACTGGTGGTTGTGAGCTCCAATCTGTTCGAACTGTCTCTGAATCGCCTTTAGACCACTGCAAACACTTGCAAGAACTCAACACCGGAAGTGTTTCCGATGAAGAGCCTCCGACGCTCTAGTCAGTATGAGAATGATGAAGTGGGCTCTGCTCAGTAAGAGTAGCAACTGAGAGAAATGAATAGAAAGAGTGAAAGTTAGGGTTTGAGGTTACCTTCATCCCTTTATA